CTTGAGCAAATTCTTACAGCTTTATACTCAACTGATGGCTAAAGTTAGAGATGGCCTAGTATTATTCTTCTGAAATTGTTATTAGTGAATCAAGCTAACTTCTTTCATTCATTTATTCAACTGCCAATAGAATACCACAGTGAATCATCATACTCCTAGCTGCAAATAGCAGTAAATAACACAGACTAAGTTAAACCCCTGATCTTATGACACTTAACTTCTGGTAGGAATAAGAAACAAATAAACAAATAAATGCAATCTGGTCATTGTAGTACTTTGAAGCAAACATAAGAAGTGAGGGGCCATCATTTTGGCATAGGGGATAAAGCTGCTGCCTGTGATGCCAGCATCCCATATAGACACAAGTTTGTGTCCTGACTGCTACACCTTTGATCCAGCTTCTGTTAGTGCCCTGAGAAAAGTATCAGAAGGTGACTCAAGTGTTTGGGCCCCATGTAGGAGACCTGAATGAAGCTCCTGGCTTGGGCCTGGCCCAGTCCTGGCTGTTGCAGCCATCTGGGGAGTGAACCAGAGGATGGATGATCTCCCCCCCCACACCATGTCCCCTACTGTGTAACTCTTTCAAATAAACAAATAAATCATTTCAAAAAAGAAATGAAAGAGAGAGACAATAAAGGTGAACAGTGAGAAGGATAATAACTTACAGAGTCAAGGATGACTTCTTTTTGAAGGTGACAACTGAGCAGACATGTATATGAATGAGGGAAACAGCCTCTAACTATCATGAGGAAGTGAGCCGCCTGGGTAGAGGAAGAGGCAACTACCAGTGTCCTGGGTGACAGCTTATTTGGTGTCTTGTAAACAAGTGAAGGGCAACGAAAGATTCAGGAATAATGATAACACCAGATAGACTGTGTCATTGAATTATGGATGGAAGGTTCAAATTAGTAACTTTCGAATAAGGGAAAAGAATTTCTGGCTGAGGAAGTTCCAAACTTGTATTTGTGGTAGTTTTTCAGGTGATAAGGTGGTGATTTACATAGTTCAAGCAAAGCAGTCATTACAATTGTACTTGAAGGCCAGTGAGTGGTATCTTTTAGAAGAAATACAAACGAGGAAGCAATGTAGTGAGAGAGAAAGTTAATAAGGAGAGGTGGGACTAAGAGCCTATTTGGGATCCCAGGAAAAGAAGTCTGTATGTCACATAATGGGAAAATAAGCTCATGGAGGATTTTCAAAAATAGTTTGAGTTTCACAGAGTTTGCTCAGAAGAGGATGCATTTGGCCATGCTGTAGAGACTGTATGGGGTGGAGAGATGGTTTGCAAAAATACTAGTTTTGGAGATCATGTGGATTACTGGCAAATGGACACCATTTGCTACCAGACTATACTAGTGATCCCCGAAGTCAGGCTCTGTCTTGTCAGTACTAATAATAGCCCTATTTTCTACCCCGGGGGATAAGGAAGAACTGTCAGGAAGCTGTGCAGGGGCCACTTGGCAATGTCACAGCTCAATAGATGATTAGGTGCTCTCCTTTATTTCCCTCAGAGAAGAAATATGAGCTGTCATTACCCCTGTAAATTTTCTCAGCATATTATTTATATTTAACCCATTTTAAGTAAAATGCAGATAATTTATGAGGAAAGCTGCAGTAAAATTTCATTTAAGCATAACATTTTATTAATAGTTTTTCTCCCTAAACCCCTTGGAAAGGAAAAAAAAAAAACCTGCTAATCTCCTGCTGTGAATCTTTGGGATTTTCCAGAAAATGAGTAGTATTCTTGCTTTTTCTTTACTCTAGGAGAACATGATATTTACAATTTATATATGTGTAGTTACTGGGAAGAATATCTTCCCACTTAATGGCCTTCTGGATTGAAAGCTACTGCTTTTTCACACAACAGTATTGGGGTGTCTAAAAATATACTTGCCCTTGAATCTAACTTTCTTTTCCAACATTTTCATTCTTTTGAGGACAGAAGTGTTAACATCATAATAATGAGGTAATATCTATACACATATAAAGTTGTTTGCTCTCCTTCTCTAATGATTTTTCCCACTCTTATCCAATAGATTGGTTTTTATACCAAGGCTTTTTATGCCAATATTTTCAGAAAGTATTAATTATTCACATATGTGTGACATTCAAGTTTCTTTCCCTACCACAGGTGACCAGATGTATTTGGGGAAATTTCACAGGGTTTTTGTTGTACTTGACTTTACAGAGTTCCAGTTCTCACTCCAAGCAGTTAGAGTCATAAGCTAAAAGGCCACATGGTTTGCATTGTACTTTGAATCCAGTTCCTTACATTTTATTGATAGATTCATCATCTATTCGTGCGTTTAATGTTTTTAATCTTATCATTCATGTTTAATTGCCTCTTCTACACTAACATTAATAGGAAACAGATTTTATGTCACTAAAAAGGAGAAGGTAGGGAAGCTTGGAAATTACTCTCAAATCAATAACTTGCAGGTATGGATAACATGTATTCTTTTTAAAAGATTAACTTATTTATTTTAAAGTCAGAGTTACACAGAGAAAGAGCGGCAGAGAGAGATAAGACTTCCATCTGCTGGTTCACTCCCCAATTGGCCGCAACGGCCAGAGCTGCTTCCTACGGGTCTCCCACGTGGGTGCAGGGGCCCAAGGACTGGTGCCATCTTGTACTGCTTTCCCAGGCCATAGCAGAGAGTTGCATTGGAAGTGGAGCAGCCCATATGGGATGCCGGCATGCAGCTGGTGGCCTTACCGGCTATGCCACAGCGCCAGCCCCTATACCATGTATTTTGATCAGACATAATAAATCATTTTTTCTTAACCACTAAGGTCAAATGTCCCTACATACATTGGTGCTTGAATCAGACAGAAAACCTATCACACAGACACTAAAAATAGCAACAGGAAGAATTACTTGTGTGCCAAGTGTGTCAATGGGTTGTTTTGCATAATCCTCACACCCCTCCTACCATGCAAGCACCATTCTCATCCCCACTTTACAGAGGCAGACTTCAAGGTATAAAGAGATAAGTAGCATTCATCAGGCAACTAGAAATGAAGTGCTGGCCCAGGATTCAAACTCAGGCAATTTATCCCAGAGACTCAGCTCTTCACTGCATCCCACCAAAAGAAGACAAAACAAAACAAGCCACCATGAAACTTCCTGCTATGCGTAATTGCTTTTGAGATCAACGGATACAGGATGGGTTTATTTCCTTGAAAAGGTTGGATTGGGAAAGTGGAGTAAATTGGTAAGACAAGTTTGGCTCATTTGATTACATTTAGAGTTTTTGATAATACATTGTGTGAAGATTCCATTTTGTTAAAATTTGTGCTCTTTTTTTAAGACTAACCCATAAAAATGTGGTAATAATGCCTAGCTGATAAAGTGTAGCCATGATAAAAAATGATGAAATACAATAGAACTTATTTAATCTCATGCTATAAATACAAATAATGCAAATGAAAAATGTCCAGTCATTATCTTTAGGGATCTGATATTAACTTCAGCAGATGTAATTAGAAAGCAGTACCTACAGCCCTGTGGGGTGCAAGAGAGTACACAAGATGTTACATGATGTAGATTACAATGGACAACTTCATCTAATCATTCTTCTTTTGTAAATTTGATTCTGCAGTTGTCATCATCCTGTCCTTTATACAGTTACTTTCATTGTCAGATGAGAATGAGAAGGATCCCATTAAGCATTTTATGAAAATTTGAATAATTATTTCTCAAATTTTCCAGGTAGGCAATTCCTAGAGAAGTTTCTAAAGAAGACTTTAGATTGTTGGATTAGACAAATTTGGTTAGGGTAGACCTGTTACTAACAGTAGGATACAGGTTTTATTAGAATGACATTTCATTTTTCTTGGAGTATTATAGAAATCTGTTGGGTTTGGCAACACATCACCTAAAGGTTACTTGTTTTAAAAAGGAAAAACAGAATGAATTGTACATCTATGCGAGGAAAATGTGGTGCTGGATTCCTTCTAAGATGAAGGAACATGCTACCCTCTTAAGATTGTTTTTTCGAGTCAGATTAGATGTGGTAGAAACTTCGGTCGCTTATTTACTGTTATTTCAGGGCAAGTGCATTCTAAGTGTTGGGTATTTTAAAGCTCCTTTCTTTAACCCGAATTTTAGAGATTAAAACCTACATCTGATGGAGAAATATGAAGCAAGCCCTCAAACAATAAGCAGAAACATCTGTCTAGTGCTTGTGGATTTTTCCTTTCTGGTTATGATTATCACACGTGGCAATCAATTAACGTTTCTATCTGCAGGGCCCTGTGCTCCAACTCACTTGCATTTAGAAAAATTCACAGAGACGCTGGGAGGAGGTGGGTAGGTATAAACAATGCACTGTAGTGAGTCACGCCCGTCACAAAAGCCAATAATGATAAGCTAGGATGAAATTTTTGGAAAATCGCTTCTCCATGGGCACAAGATGTGGGCGCAGTCCCGGGGGCAGAGGCCGAAGGCAGCATGGTGATGCATGCCCTCCACTCCCACTAAACGGGGCCCTGGCCAACGCTTCAGTTCCGGGATTGCTCTGCCTCCAGCTGGAGGAAACCCAGGAAACAGAGTTTGGTGGCGGGGCGGGGGGCGCGGGCAGGCGACTCAGGGAGGCTCTTGCCTTCTTCAACTCTGCGCTCACGGTCTCCAAGGCGAAGCCGCCCGCAAACGGGAGAAACTGGGAGCGTGGAGGCCTGGCAGCGGGGCGGCCGTGCCCGTTCACTCGCACGCTCCTGCGAGGGGCTCGGCGAACGTCACACGTGACGCCCGGGGCCCTGCACCCCTCCTACCGCCGCGGGCGCTGCGGGCGCTGCAGACGGAGGCTGCTCGGCGGCCGCGGAGGGAGGGAGGGCGGAGGGCGGAACTTGTAAGGGGAGGCACCGCGCCGCCTGCACCGCCGGACCCGCGCCCCCGAACCCACCCCCGCCACGATCGCGGCTGAGACCCGGGGGAGGGGATGCTGTGCAATAAAGCAGGCGGGGCGGGGTAGGCTGGGGAGGGAGTGGAGGCCGAGAGGGGGGCAGAACGGACGGGGTCTGGAGGACGGGTCCGGCTGGATTCAGACTCCTGCACCGGCTGCGCGGCGGAGAGACAGGGAGAGGGAGCGGGGAGGTTGCCGTGTGTGCGCGCGTGTGTGCGCGTGTGTGCGCGTGTCTACAGGTAGCAGCGGCAGCAGCGGCAGCGGCGGCGGCGGGGACCCGAGCAGGGGACGCGTCTGCTGCCACCTCCCCGCCCATGATTTTCGGAGGCGATTGCTCACTTAGCAGACGGATCTCTAGCCCCGGGAGCTCTCCTCGTCCTCTCCATTTCCACGCTTCTCGGGCGTCTTCCAGTTTCAAGCGTGTGTTTGGGGTATTTTATTTTATTAAAAAAAATTTTTTTTGGTAATCTCTCCCTGTAAATCTTCTCGGGAATTCTGCATCTTGAAGCAGGTGGCTCCTGGAAACGAAATCTTTGGATCCGTTTGGCTTGCCAAGTTTTGCTCTTCCCCGTCTCCTCCCGCTCTCACAGGCATCTGTGGTGCTCTTTCTGGATTTACATGCAGAAAACGTATATATGTTTATATATCGACCGCACAATATCTAGATACGTCCCCGCGTGTCCCAGCGCCTGGTTGTCGTCTCGGTCCGCGACCAAGCGGGATGTTTTGGAGCCGATGGATCACGAGCACAGGACTAACATTCTTCTGAGCCTGGCTGTTCCAAAGGGGAGGGAGCGTGAAGAATTGTTTAACATTCGGCCATCGTTTGGCTGCACACTAAGCACCACGAAGTATTTATGGTTGCAGATCAGGTGCAAACGGGGCTTAGAGAGAAAGGTAAGGGAGCTTCCAGCGTCCGCCGAGCTCTGGGGATTGCGAGAACTTCCTACTCCCTGCCTCTCCCTCGCCTTCCCCACCTGCCCCCAGCCCTGCCCGGCTCGCTTTCTCCGTAAGCTCAACCCTTTCCCAATTCCACTGGGTTACACGGGGGTGGGGGGCGGCGTGCTGGAGGTGGAATCGTCTGCTGGAGTTGGAATTCTCTCTCTCTCTCTCTCTCCCTCTCTCTGTCTCTCTCACCCCACCCCCAGCCTAATAAATGACTTTCCCAGTCTCCCTTTTAGAGGTTTTAGGAATTGGATTTTTTTTAAAGCTATCTACATGAACTGTTTTAAACCTCTCTTGTTGCCAAACCCTCAACCCTATCCTCTGACACAAACACAATAAAACAGAATGAACTTTGATGAACTGGGTGGGTTTTTTTTTTTCAGCCGTGGGGTCCACGGAACCTCCCAAACGCTTCTTTTTCATGTAGAAAAGCAAGATCACCGCAAAGAAACCCACTCCTCGGGAGGTGTCCACCGCGGAGGAAATTCGGCTTCTGTTTCCGCAGGCAGCCGATCCATTTTGCTTGGAGGCCGATTCCCAGAGTTGAGCGAAGGGAAGCCGAGCTGGTGTAGCAGAAACTGTGTGGCGGCCGAATTCCCCTTAAACCCACCCTTTGCCCCTCCGCCAGTGCCTGTTTAACTCCGCCGTCCGTGGGCCGTGGCACGCGTTTCCAGAGCCGACCTTTGGGGAGGGGGGGTGCTGGGAACACCCCCTTATTTTCCCTTCTCCCACCCCCTCCCCAGCCGCCTCCCTCCTCCGCTCGGCTCCCCTCGCCCTGGCAGTTTGTAAACTGCCCGTTTTGCCCACCCCTCGCTGTGGGCGTCCTCGCCGGCTCCCCGCTCCTTTCTTCCCGGGCGCGGGCAGAGCAGATGCGTCTTCTTTTTGCTTTGGGCTCCCTCTGCCGCCTCCCCGCTACCCCCCGCGGCTCCCCCACCTGCCCCGGCTCTCCCGGCTGCTCCGCCCCGCAGCGGGTTGACCGCTCTTCAATCCCGAGGCCCGGCGGGCAGGGGGCGCCGAGGACCGGGCGGCGGAGCGGGGAGACTCGGCAGGAAAGGCGAGCCGGAGTGGGTGCTCAGAGGCCAGGAGAGCCCGTCCGAGCCGGAGGGAGCGAGTGTGCGGCGTGCACGCTGCCCGAGCCCGGGCGGACCAGTGCAGTGGTCTCCAAAGCCTTAGAGCGGCGCCCCGGTCACTGCAGTTTTTCTACCTAGAGCTGTGCCCTGGGACCACAGAGACCGAGAGCCGGGAGATCAGCAGACAGGTACCCGAGATACAGCGAACCGATTGCGAGAGCGCGGGGAGGGTTTCCTGGCGAATCCCGGGGCCGAGCAGATGGAGGAACAATGACGCCTCCAGAAGCGAGCCCTTGCCTGAACCCCCGGCGAGGCGCACGGGAGCCGCCTGCAGGCTTCTGCCCTCCCCAGGCTCTTCAGCGGGTTTGGGGGTCGGTTCCGCCTCTTAGTTTGACAGGGATAAGAAAGTTACTCCTGCTCCCCAGAAGGTTTCCTGAGAAGTGGTTTTCAGATCTGCGTGGTTCGAGTCGAGATGTCACTCCCTAGATGCGCCCGCGATGAGCAAGTAATATATTATGCATTATTGGGCGATAAACTCTCCTGGGAAGAGAAGGTAGCGCAAACATTTAAACCGCTCAGTTCTCCGACTCCTGCTTGCCTCAGTGCAATGCCTTGTGAGGAGAAATGTAAAACCACCTGCAGTGAATTTAACATTATTTAGGCTGCGATTTGCAGTGGGGAATAATTTATCGCAGAGGAGATTGTTAGTGAGTTACAGAGGTGAAGGAAATTATGTGTTCAGGATTTGACTCATTTGTGATTTTTTTTTCTAAATCACGCACACTTGGCCTCCCCTAAAGAATTATATTATTTATCCATTTCCAGGGTTATGGTGATGCATTTAGGACTTAGAAAACATGAATTCAGAGGGTTAACTGTATCTTTACTCTGCATTTTTAACAGGGAGTTAATATACTCATTTTCTTTCCTTTTTATTCTAAAACCACAGGTCTTTTTTAAAAAAAATAAATTGAATCCTCGTGCTGTCCATGAAAATTATAGGGTCTTCAAGTGTTTCTCAAGAAATTAATTGTGCTCAATTATTAATAGGATCATAGATATAAAAATGTTAACCGAGAAAAAGAGTGTGTATCTCGGTGAGGGTTTAAATCCTGTAAAATGTCTCGACATTTCCAGCAGCCATTGTAACCGAGCAGAACACCAGCTTTGTGAAATGAGCTCAGGCGCGAGGGCCATGCATGTATTTAAAATAGAAATGTTAAGTGCAAGCACACGAAGTTTACGGTGCCCTTGGCAGAGAAGGGGGCTAAGCCTACCTGTGCTGCGCCGCTGGTGACTGAGTGATTCACCAGGAAGAGGAAGTGAAGCGTTACTCAGGCCTTCTGAATCACATGGTTTGAGTAAGCGAAGTAACTGTTCTCTGAGAGCCTGCTAGCCCGAGGTTAGTCTTCCCAGTCCGCTTCCCAGGGCAGACCTGGAGGGAGGCAGGCTTGCAACAGGCCAGACCAGAGTTCCTGGAGCGTGGGGTAAGAAGTGCTGCGTGCCCTCCCTCCCTGCACTGCATCCCTCCTTGAACCCCCAAAGTGCTTTCTGTCAGTCTTTATGTCTTCTGTAGGGATTCAGTTTGTGAAATTGCCACTTATATTTAGTTGTGAGGTATTTTCAAACAGAAGCGTTTGAAGTGTTGAAATGGAAGGTGGAATCCATGCGACCAGAAGGTAGGCTGAGAACTCCCTCCGTTCCTGAGGTGTTGGCAGGCCTGAGGACTCCATGGGGTTGCAGTTGGATGACTTTCCTGGCTCACTGTCTGCAGTCTCTTCCAACTCTGAGATTCTCAAGTTTTGTTCCCCTTTTATGATTTCCACATGGTTATCCAGTGGTGGGGTCTAGATCTTTCAAATATCCTTGAAATAGCTGTTTGGAGATTTTTTTTTAATGGAATAATTTACTAGCTAGAACTAGACAGTATAGCTATAAATTTAAAATCTTGGATGTTTTTAAAAAAATTCACATAGATTTTAATGTTATTGACAACTTTTGGTGGGACATTAGAGATGTAGGTACCATCTATAAACATTTCTCAAGTTCTGTATGTTAAACAATTTTTAGTAAAGCGTAGTAATGGTTCATCTTAATTCTTTTTACACAAAAGAATTCTTTTGAATACTAATTTGTAAGTTTTGCAGGTAAAACACAGTTGGAATGAATAACATTGTTAACTGGATTAGAAACTGACAGTTTAACCATATACTTTTGCAACATTTTGAAGTTTGAAGATTTCCCATTTTATTTGATTTATAACTAGAATGATAGGATTCCCAGTTATGGTTCGATTTTTTGTAAATGGAATGATCCAAGGGCATCACCAGACTTATTTATTCTGAACCATGAATCTGAGCCTATGGATCACAAATTAAAAACAGTTGACTTTCCTGTGTCCCTCGTGCAGGGACATTCAACTGCCCAATGACATTCAACTGTTTCAGATTTCAGTTTCATTTAAAACACCCTCTACCTGGTTCTCCCCCAGTCTACTCTTTCAACCAATTCACAACATGCTAGTTACTGCAGTGTTATCTACCATTTTAGGCTTCTGCACTTTGCTTATATTAACTTTTCTTCAAGGATCCATCTTGCTAAACTCCACCCCCTCACTCCAACTATTGCATAAGAAAACATGTTGGTTCCTCAGGGTGGGCTTTTCTTCTCTTGCTTCCTTCCTTTATCCTTACCTGTAGCACCCATCACAAGTTATCTGTACCAGGAGTACCCACTTTTCACAATCTTCATGGTTGATAATGTAACTGGATAGTGACTTTCCATGGGTCAAAACCAAAATGATTCTGCACTGACTTAAGAAAGACTTAGCCCCATCTCAACATAAAGTAGACCATAAATGAATAAGAAACTTATTAGTTGGAAATACATTTGGCTATGAAGTAACAGATAACCTGATTGTGGGTTAAGAAAATAACAGTTGTATTTAGCTCACATGTTAAGTTAGGAGAAGACAGTTACTTAAACATTTAATCAAGGGATCAGGTTTCTTCCTTCATTGTGGTATTTTTCTTCTCCTGGTCACAAGGTTACTGCTGTGCCATCAAGCTCATTTCTGCTTTCTAAGTCCAAGGAAGGAGGGTAAGAAAAAGATAACAAAGAGTACTCTTTGTTCAGGATTTCTTGACTTAAGCATTGCTGGCATTTTTACCTAGGAAAGTCGTTATGTTAATTGTGGGGGAGTATTCTGAACACTGTGGGATATGTGGCAGTTTCTTTGATCTGCACCCTCTAGATGCCAGTGGCATACCCCACTCACCAATTCCATCATAGGGATCAATTGCCATATCTGTGAGATAAAATCACCCTAGGTTGGGAACCTTTGCTCTAGAATTTTAAGAAATTCCATTTCCTACTTTCTCTTTGCATTGCACTGTTAGTGAGAATCTGGTTTTTGCTTAATAAATGGTTAGCGGGCCATCAGTGAGATTTACAGAGGAGGAAAAGAATGGAAAAGGAAGGAGCCAACTAAACCTGCTCTGAGCACTGTGTCTTTCCTGTGGTGGAGACCTTCTCCCCATAGACTTCCATTCTTGTTTTCCCTCCAGAAATGTGTCTGATAGTCCCTGCTAGGTACTGGAGAGGTTGGGAAATTCAGCACCTTAGTGCAATTTGGTGTGCATACTGCTATTCTAAACCAAGTCCACCTGTGAGAAAAGAAGGGGAAATATATTTGGAATTGAAAACTAGTGATGACTGACCACTATCACAAAATAAATGAGTAGTTAACATTCCCCAAAATACTTCAGAGAGGAGAAAAAGGAAAGACAAGATCAACAGGCATATTCCTAAAGGAGGGTATATAAAATTTTTTCACATGCTAAATGCTGATTTAAAAACAACAGTGATAATACATGGATGATT